GTAATGGGTTGTACTCTGTCGTGGAAGAGGACTCGAAAAGATACAAAAGGGTTTCCTTTGTCGGACCTATCCACGCGTTATGCGTACACTTGTCTATGCCGGAGGTTGACTAATCGTATGTTTCTAGGGTTAGTGGCACTTGGGGAAGCGCCAAACTTAAGTTTCTCGTACCATTGTACAAATTATTTGTTTTATTAATTCGTAGTTTTTATATAATTATTTAATTATTGCGACTGCACTTCACGACTGCTGCTGCTGCTCGTTTTCCACTATTTTTAACTGCTTCTACACCACGTTTTGTAACTGCTTCCGCTCCACGTTTTGTGAGAAGTTCGTTTAGTAAGAAGCTAGTTTAATATGAAGTTCGTTTAATAAGAAGCTCATTCACTGAGAAGCTCATTCAGTGATAACTTATATACATATTTACAATAAGCTTACAATAGGTAAAATTCAACAACTTTCCTTTCCAACTTTCAGTTGCTAGCGGAGAACCTAAAACTTTTTACCTATCCTGTTACTCGTTGCTTTAATTGTTTAGAACTATGTCCAATTTTTATAGTTTATATTGCCCACTTTGGTAGTATACTTTTGCTGTGAACTTTCTGGAGGTTTAAAATTTTTTTGGATTGTTTATGATGATCAAAACATAACAAATGCCTAAAGCTTTCTTACATTTAACCCTAATAATAAATAATAAAATATAATAATAGTAAATGATAATATAATATGATAACATGCTGTCGGTTGCTGTTTTTTAAGGTCAGAATCGATTATTAAATTACATGTTTCAGAGTTTAAAACAAAGTGTATTATTTCATACTGTTTAGTTAGTTCAAATATGATATCATAATATAACATATTGGTTACTGTTTGATTAGGCCCAGACCGATAATATAATATATTTAAAATTTTAAAACAAAATGTATTATCTCGTACTGTTTATTTAGTTACAATATTTACAAAATATGATATTCTATAAAAATACTGTGTGTGTTACTGAAGATTGTTTGTTTAGAAACAAACGATCTTCTGTTATTTTTATAGTTCTGTTGTTTTTTTAACTGGCGTGAAATGCACATATATTTTGTTTTAATAATTACTTTAAATTAGTTATAAAATTTATTACAAAGTAATTTGCTTTTCTATATCAAAGGCTTTATGTGAGCATAACAGAATATAGTATATTTAGCTGATCTTAGTAGTAATATATGTTTTCGAAGCTATGTATTTCTCCTCGCGGAATAGAGCTTATTAAAAATAATAGATCTGAAAAATTTATTATTTTGTGATTCAAAGTTATATATATGTATATTAATTTGAACAACATGATGGAACACTTCAAATGTTTCAAAACGTTTGAATTGCTCGCGAGGGTCCTGAATATCAAAATTCGGGACGCTCGAAGTATTATATTTAAAACGTTAATACTAAAATATCACAAAATAATAAAAATACAATTATTATTCATATAATAAAAATTTTTTGTATATTTAACAAAAAGGATATTCGGTTGGAGTCAAAAGTTATACATACAAATTATAAAATTTTTTTATATCAATTATTATAATTAATATTATAATTATAAATTGTTCATGAATGAATGAAATTTAAATTTCTTAAAATTATTTTATAAAAAATTATAATAAATTGTTTATTATTTTATACTTGTATTAATAGAAATATTAGATAGTTTATTTTGTTGAAATATTTTTGTTTAACTTAAAAATAAAATTTTTTGTTGTATTAAATCTTTTGTCATCAATTCATAAAAATTATGCACTAATAATCTATATTGCTTAAACTAAGATATCGTTTAATTTCAAACAATTCTATATGAGACTTATTTTCTGAACTCACATTTTGTGCGTAAACATAACATAAATTGAAAAAAATTGTAAAATATATTGAATCAATGAAAATAAAACAAATTGTACTTTTATTTAAAAACTGAGTTTAATTTATTTTATTTTAATTATCATATTGTGTTAATGAATTTGATTACTCTAGGGCAGGACTGTAAAAAACGCGGGCCACATGCGGCATCTAACAGAATTACGCAAATATTATTTTGCTGTACTGATAAAACTACGTTATTTTATTTTTGTTTTACCAAATATATTAATTTAACCACTTTTCAAACACAACAATCTTAGCGTGAAGAACAGAAAACTGATCCATAGCCAGATAATTAGACCAGCATTACTTTATGGGTGTGTCGCGCATAGGAAAGCTGGCGACTCTACTATACAAAAGCTACAAGTCGATCAAAGTCAGGCACTCCGAAGGCTCTTCAAAGTGCCTTGGTACATCCGCACAAAAGGCATAGTAAGAGACCTTAGAATAGACCCGATCAAAAAATACATAAGGGACAGAACCCTGAAGTTATATGCGAAAATTGACAGGCTATCCTACTTACCACTATCTAATCTTAGAGTAATCACTCTCCGCACGGGGAGGTACGCAGATCTTAGATCAATCACTGAATAATCATGAAGCTTATAGGCAATACATAAATTAGTCAATGAGTTGGGTGGGACCCTGTAGTACCCCCAGCTATCAAAGAGTAAAAGTGCCCAGTTACGCTGACTCGAAAAAAGGATCAACATACATACATAAATTTAACTTAATATATTAAGAAATTTAACATTATAATCGTATTTTTACTTTTGTCGAAAACAACTATGAACGTATGTATTTGTTTCTGCGGTCCTCCAATATGTACAGTGATTTGTATTGGCCAGCGATCGCATCTGATCTGGACAGTCCAACTCTAGGCCATCATTTTTAATAATGCAGTGAAATTTTGTACTTATGAGTATCAGTCTGTCAGTCGTTCTGCAGATAGGGCATAACAGCTTCATATGATATCGATTAAATTATTAAAAATATATTGCAAGTTTAAAAGAAATTATATAAAAATGTTGGTATTATGGAGACGATATCAATTCATAGCAGCGTATAACTCACGACTGTTGCAAACTATAACTGGTCACATGAACAAGTAATCCGTAGAAAATATATTACTTGTATCACGTTTCATAATAGACGATAGTTAAATCTATTAATGTATAATAGTGTTTTAAATAAATATATAAACTTTTGAATAAAGAACTCATTAATATTTTTATTATTTTATAGGTAAGTAATTTGTGTATATGTATTTTCTAATCTTTTTGTACTAGAACTAACCATTTTTAAATGGCTAACTTCAAAGCAAGTAATATATGAATTATGTTACAGTATAAATTACTTAATACAAAAATTGAATAGCAAATTTATAGAACTTAAGTAACGAAGAAAATATGTAATAATTACTGTCAGGTAACATATCTTAATTTACTTTCAGCTCAAAAAGTATCCGGATTTTGTTGTTTGTTAATTACTCCGTAAGTAATAGACCTTTAGAACTTTACTCCTTTAATAGACCAATTAATTTGTTTACAGCAGCTGTTAATGTAAGACTACCTGCAGTGCATTTAGCGATTTTTACTATGGAAAATTCTTGTTGTACGCGATTTTTTGACCAAACACGGCACCACTGTCATCGCTCAGGCACCATATTCGCCAGATCTGGATCCGTGCGACTTTTTCCTGTTCCCGAAACTCAAATTGCTCCTTCGTGATAAGCATTTTGAGTCGATTGAATAGGTAAAAGAGAATTCGCTAAAGGAACTAAAAGCCATACCTTCACGGGCCTACGAAAAGTGTATGGCAGATTGGATTAAGCATTGGCATATGTGTATCGCTTCAGAAGGAGTATATTTTGAAGGAAATAAAATAAATTTGGAATAAAATTTTAATTTGTGTTTTATTTACTAAATCCGGGTACTTTTTGAGCAGAAGGTATATTGGTTAAAACCCATGCCCCATTTACAAACTTTTAACCTTTAAATATAATTATAAAAACTGAGAACTAAATAAGTTTTTGTACATGAATATATCGTACATCAAATTTTAATTACCGAAGTTTGTGCCCACACCAATGAAAGGAAACCCGATTTCTTAATATTTAACATAACATGTAAATCTATAAGTTGTATCATTTCCTACAAATATATTTATCTTAATGCTTATCTTAAGTCTCAGTTAGACGGTAAGTAACGTAAGAAATTAATTCAAAGCGAAATGCACAATCAACCAAACCTGCGTATTTGATAGGAGCGAAATAAACAATAGGGGTATCTTTCAGTTGTTTATAATTTAAATCTTTAGATTTGGGATATTTGTTTATATCACAAATAATTCCATGTTTTCCCCTAAAACCAAACTCGTGGGACGGTATTAGGTGTTGACCGTCAAGGAATGGTTTTAGCTTTAAAAGCAATGCTCTTTCAAAGAGTTTAGAAAGGCATGACAGTAAGATTATTGGCCTGTATGAAGGGACAAACGTGGGATCTTTGCCTGATTTATGAATCATAATTGTCATGGATGTTTTCCACTCTGTTGGAAAATCAAATTTAAGAATGGCATTAAAACGTCTTGTGATAAAATTTATGTCCAAAAGGGGTAAGTTTTTTATCATGATGGGTGAGATGTTATCATATCCTGGTACCTTTTTGCAATCTAACTTGTTGGTGATTATTTGAACAAGGTCACTGACCGTAATATTCATGTCAATAGGTAGTAAATATAGACGCTGAGTGGGAAAGTCATTAGGTTCTGTTGCAGAATTTGGTGGAAACACGTCTTTTAGGTAATCAGCAAATGCTTTAGATTTTTTTTCATCTCTTTGCGCCCTGTTTCCGAGAGAATCGGATTCTATGAGATATTTTATATCTTTGCTAGCATTCCATAAGGATGAATATTTTTGCCATTTAGACATAGGTGTAGAGTATAATTATGATTTTAGTTTTCCTGCTTAATACAGTTCTAAGTCTCCTTTTGGCATCCTTTGAAATTAAATTAATTAAATACCGGAAAAGTTTTGAGAAATAAATTTTGATTAATAAAGTTCACTCAGTAACATCTGATTAAAATAAATAAAAGATGAAGCAGTGCTATTAGCTAATATCGAAAATTTAATACGAAATAATATAATAATAGTTACTTAACATTATGAACTCTATTAATTTTTTTGTATTTCTCTGTATTATCAATACTAAGGCAACAAATTTTAATTGTAACCAATAACACCTTTTGCTATAGACCAGTCTTCATGGCATTTGATAGGCCCTATTATTTCCACTCCTTTTGGTGTGCAAATAGCCATTTTGTATTTACGTATGGCAAGACAATCACGATAATGAAGTACCATCATGCAAGTATCGATCTGTTAGAAAAGAAAACAAAAATTTAAATTAATGTGAATGTAATCGAAACTCTATGATATTCACCAATTTAATTGCCTCTTTCCTATTAATTGGAGGTTTGTGTTTTTGCATGAAACGCTCTTTTATTAGAGGCATAGCCAAATACTGTCCCATTCCTGTACAACAAGCTTCTGCCCTTGTCGGGGTACCACGGGTATCTATTCGTCCTAAAAATGCTTCACAAGCACGCGTAATACCACCAATAATAACATTAATATTTAGACGACGCATTTTGCAACGTTCCTTATAAAGCAAACCAGTAATATGCTTGAAAAATTGCTCCGGATAAGGAATTTCATTATAAAATATCTTTTGCATGAACCATGGTGCGTAGTTTCGCTGTAGATATTGGAAATCTGAAAACTCTCCACTACAACCAAGCATAATTCGATCAGCCAGTTTAAAGACACGGTCAACTGATGTGAATCGTGACATAGTACCATATGAGACTAATGTATCTGCAGACATTACTACGCCATTATTGAATTTGAATGCAACGCATGATGCACAACCATTAACTGTTTGACTGATTAAAATACACACAAATCTATATAAAGCGGTTGCTTTTATAATTTATTAATTTTCTATACTTACTGATAATGCTGAACACCTGCTGTACTTGGTGCATTGGGACTCACAAAATTAAGAACTGGGCTAGGAGTACCACTAGTACATAAATAAATTGTTATTAACTGTTTATTATAATTAGATATATTTATTGTAAGAGTAAATTTTGTACTTACTAAATATCCTGGACAATAGAACGCTTCGCGAAAAGCTTTGCAATTGCGTCCCTTTGTGCAGCTCCTGCAACTGGTAAGAATTTAAAAGGCTGTTCCAAGTCAATGTCGTCAAACATTTTTAAGACGTTTTAAGACTATTTTCGAGAAATTGAAAACAAGAAAAAGTTTTAAAATATAAATAAAAGTTATTTTGTTCTATGAATCAATAAAATTTCAAATGTTTGTGTTTAACTTGCTTGGATTTTTTGAATTTTTACAGTTTAATAGTAGGTCTCTTCTTTTGTAAGCATATTACAAAAGAACAACTGCTTATTTTAAAAATAACATATGAAACAACAACACTGCTCGTTTATTTAGCCCAACCTTTTTGAAATTGCTTAACTAAAAGCGGCTCAAATCACCTAGTTGCCAAGACTAAAAATTTGTCTATTGTGAACTGTTTTTGGAAATACATACGAAATTTCCAGTTAACGACACGTATTACATGTCGTCATTAATCGTAACAAATACGTTATTGTTTTTATTTATTATTTTACTGTTAAAAGGCATGAAAAATTATATTTTATTCACAATTAAGTTAATAAAATATTCTCATCAATAATTGCAAAGAATTATTATTCATTTTTGAAATTTTAACTTTAAATTCAAAATCTCCATTTAGTCCAGAGTTGCCATCGAAAGTAGTGCAAAAAAACAAATATAATTAAGCACTATATTCGACGCCAAACTGTACAAAACAGAGATTTTGTTAGGCTTATATTTGCAAAACAAGTAATAAATAGAAATTTCTTATGTACTTCCAAAAGTCGTTCACAATAGATAAATTTTTAATGTTAGCAACCATGCGATATGAGCTGCTTATTAGTTAAGCAATTTCAAAAAGATTGAACTACCAGGTGTACCGGTATGAAATGAGCGTTTTTTGGTGAAAATAAAACACTAATTATTAATAGGAAAGTAAAAAACATTTTATTCAAAGTATTGGCAATTGCTTTCTACACATTTTGACCACCTTTCTGACAATTTGTGGATACCACGCCAATAAAATTGTTCGTCTTTTAAAGCAAACCAACCAGACACCCAATTTTCGACCTCCTCGTAGGAATCAAAGTGCTGCTCAGCCAATGCGTGTCCCATCGATGAAAACAAATGGTAGTCGGAAGGAGCCAAGTCTGGTGAATACAGCGGGTAGGGTAGTAGCTTCCAGCCAAGTGTTTTGATTGCATCCTGAACCCGTTTTGCTTTGTGTGCAGGTACATTGTCATGGAGCAGAATTACCTTGCCGTGTCTTCTGGCCCATTCTGGTCGTTTCTCGATCAATGCATGGTTCAAATTTATCATTTGTTGTTCATAGCGACCAGCATTGACGGTTTCATCAGGTTTTAGGAGCTCGTGGTACACCACACCTTTCTGGTCCCACTAAACACACAGCATTGTCTTCTTGCCGAATCGATCTGGTTTTGCAGTCGATGTTGATGGTTGTCCCGGATTAACCCATATTTTTTCCGTTTAGGATTCTTGAAATAAATCCATTTTTCATCGCCAGTAACAATCCGATGCAAAACCGATTTTCTTTCGTGTCTTTGAAGCAAAATTTCACAAGTGTTTTTTCGGTTTTCATTCAATTCATGTGGCACCCATTTTCCACACTTTTGGATCTTTCCCATAGCTTTTAAACGGTCAGAAATTGTTTGTTGTGCAACATTTAACATTTCTGTCATTTACTTTTGACCAATAAAGGCTCGTTCACAACAAATGTTCTCTGTCGGAACATTTGTATCTTTACGCTCTCTTTATACCGGTACACCTAGTAGTTGTTTATTTTAGTTATTTGTTGTCAATTAAATTATCAAAATACTCTTCAGAACCTATTTCTAAAATTAAATTTCAGAACTATTTTTCTCTTAGTTCTCTTAGTTCTTAGTTCTTTTATTGGTGCAAGAGTACTATACTTTAAGCATCTTCTTTTTGTGCTTCCAAATATTAGGAATCCATCTTGTTCTCTGCTATAGTATTCCAAGCTTTTTAGAGCATTTATCAACGATTTCAATCGAACTTTTTTTGGATCAATATCTTTTTTTTTGCTAGAGATGTTCCTGTAAGTATTCCATTTGGCATACGGCGAACGTGACCAGCATTGACATCGTATAAAATTGTTAATACATAGTATATATATCATGAAGTGCTGTTCAACATTTGTTCTTGTAACATTTTGTACGCAGATTATGGTCTATTTTTTGGAGTTATAAAATTCTTCACAGAATTTTAAATTTATTTATTATTAACTGTTTAGTATAACTGTTAAGTAATTATTATTTATTATTAGATTTATATATTTATTGATTATTAGAAAAATTTTTTAATATTTTTACCTCATTATTCACCAAATAAATTTCAATCAATGAGTTTTTAGGGCGCCTGCTTTCTAGCTTTCTATATTTTGCTCCAGTAATAAACTGTTCATCGTATTACGCTTTCATAAATCTGTTGTCAAAGCGAATCTATTATTGAAAAACTGACTAATTTAATTTGAAAAACCTTATCTCTCATATTATTCAAAAATTAAATAGAACTATAGACACTTTTTGAAAACATATGATATTTTAAGTAAAAAATTTTAAGTATACTCCTCTATTTTTATTAATAGTAATAGCTATATTAATATCTGAAAGAAAATTTTATAGAGACTACTACAAAATAACATACTTTTGTAGAAGAGACACTCGAAGGTTCGGAATGAAACCCTAAACTATAATATATAAATAATTCTATTCCCCATACAAGCACTCAAGCACTTGAAGAGCGTGTTAGTTCTAGTAATATTAATAATAAAGAATATCGAGAAAAGCTCTAACACCGAATAAAGTGAAATTCTATTGCACTGCATTATTTATATATTTATATAATATACCATACAACTATACATACTCTCTATAATAAAAAATATAAAGATTTAATTTAATTTTATTTAGATTAATAGATTTTTGCAATATTTGTATTTTGCAAACTTTAATTTATTGCTCCATTCTATTACATGTGAACTGTCTTTTTATAATTATTCCATCCTTTATTGTTTAAATTTATATTTTCTGAGAATTATAGTTTTTATGCATATTTAAAAATTGAAAATAATAATACACAATGGGAAAAAAAATAAAATAAAACTCAATTTTTTTCTAATCCCAAATTTAAATTAAAAAATTAGTAATCATTAATTTTTATACATAGTATATATTTCTCAGTTCATTTTCGTGAGAACTGGTTATATGTATTATATGGCCAACAAAAACAAACCTTTTTACAAATTATTTATTAATTTTTCATATATATGATTTTATACATAATTTATATATATTTTTAGTGTGACAAAATAAAATACAAAAGTGAATAAATTCAGGCGATTCATATGAAAAAGCGAGTTTTTAATAAATAAGAGGATGACAGACAGGGGCTTGAACATGTGTTGATATCACATGAGAGCCATTCAGAAGCAACAAATGAGCACAGCAAAATGAAATCGAATAAATTTTGTTATTAAAAACGTCGATTGTAAACAATTGAGTTTTTATTTATAAATAAATTATTATTCTTTAAACAGTACGAAAGTATAAAATGTCACTTTACTGCATATTATGGATATATTGAAAGATTCAGCACAAAAAATCTTATGCATATTTTTTTTTGTTTATTTTCTTAATATATAATTTTAATGCTTTAAGTCCAGTCGACTTATATGGAAGAATATATAGAGTAATAAATTTTATAACTAAAAACCTTGATAACAATGGGAACTATAAATGCTTTACAAACTGCATTTTTACAATAATCTATAAAGTATCACAATTCCCTTGATGAAACTTTTTTATATACAGGTATTACATACATTCAGACATGCAGAATAGGATATTTAACAATTTATGTCCTATCCTAAGAGATCAATTCAATCTCTTAGTGATCTCATAAGTTGTTGTCCACCAGTTTGTATCACTTAATTGTTTTCAGCAGCTTCAACTGGTCTTCCAGTAGGTGGTGCATCCTCAACATCAAAATTGCTGGATCAAAACTTTGAAAACCAGATTTTCCACTGACGTTCTATTAATATATCAACTCCATACACATCCGACAATTGTTTTGTTATTGCAACAACATTTTTACCTTGATGTCTCTGCAGATATTTGACTAAGTTAAAATGTTACACATATATATATATTTATCTAACCACCACCAGTCTCAGCAAATTCTTATCTTAGCTCAAACCTCATATATATTATTCTAACTACTACGAGTCTCTGTAGATAACAGGTAGTATCACATGTATTCTTTTGACTATTCCGAGTCCCTGCAGATACTTATCTAAGCTAAAATATCACTTATATTCTTCTAAAACTAAAACGGTGTATTTTCAGGACTCAGACAAAGCAAAGCACTGATAACACCGTACTCCTACAAAGACATTCTTAAATTCTCAAAATGTAATTTAAGGTTTTATTACAGGTCATTATGGTCTGAAATATCACCTTCATAAACTACAATTATCTGCTAACTCGGAATGCAGATTATGCCTCGAAGATGAGGAAACGACCATACACATTCTTTGTGACTGTCCAGCTTTAATAACGCACAGAAGAAACCTGTTACATAAAGAATTTCTGTCACCAGAACAGATTAAGAACTCTTCTCTAGAATTAGTTCTAGACTTTATTCACAAAGCTTTAAGGGGCTTTGTTTAATCAATAGTGAAACTGGTACAATAGGTCTCTTCTGGCCGCAGTACCGGCTGTTGGGCAATTTTCACGTCTACTCTTTTAATAATAATAATAAAACGGTGTATTTCATATATCTTGGCACTGCCGTAACAAACAACAACGATATCAGTCTACAGACATGCTGAAGAATCACTATTGGTTACAAGTGCTACAATGTAAACAGTAGGGGACTGGTATATAGAGCTCGCTCTCTCTCTTTCTCACAACAAACAAGACTTATGCTCTATAGGTCGGTCATCCTACCTGTGCTATTGAATGGCATAGTGTATACTTATTATCACAAAATGATCAAGAAGCGCTGGAAATAATCGACTACCGCATCTGAAAGGAAGTATACCAACTTTATTACGACATTGATGTAATTCAGCAAATTATGTCATGTCGTGAGAATGAATGCAGTTGCTCCAGCGAAA